CACTACAGCACACTACAGGACACTACAGGACACTTGAGGACACTACAAACCATCACAGGACACTACAGGACACTACAGGATACTACAGGACACTATAGGACACTATAGGACACAGGACACTACAGGATATTACAGGACACTATAGGTCACAGGACACTACAGGACACTACACCACACTACAGGACACTACAGGACACCGGGACACTATAGGACACGGGACACTACAGGACACTACAGAGGCCACAGAGCCTCACAGGCAGGAATCTCCCACGAATGCTGAAAATATTTGTTTCTTAAGTTCAACCAACTTTCCCATGAAAACAGCAGCTCTGGAGCTGACCACTGGAAACGTAGATGGAAACACGTCCTCAGAATCTGCCTTCACATCTTCCTAAAGTCACTTTGACCCCCCCAATCTGAAAACTGATCCGAGATGTGTTCAGTAACCGACTGAAAAAGTTCCCTGCAAACACAGAGTAAGGATCTCATCCAGTGTGGGTCCTTAAAAAGCCTTTTTAGCTAGCAGCGGGAATCCAACCCCCAGTCCTTCTGAGCGATATCAATCATGGGTTTCAGGAATGTTTCAGAATGTGCAGCAGCGCAAAGTGGGTCAGGAATCTCAGGCTTCACCGCTCCACCAGAAACACGAGCACCACAAGTTTACCAAAGGTTAGCAGCACAAGTGGAAACATTTCTGCTAGCCTCTCAGCTGGGCTGGGGGGGTGGGGGGGGGATCCTCTGCATCCCCAATGGCTGGGCAGCAGTCGAGTCTGGGTGGGGCTGGGCTAAGTGGGTCCAGGGGTTGAGAACTGGTCCCCACACCTGCTGCTGCTGGTGGATGGAAATCAATACCGGCTGGGTTTTTAGCAATAAGGGGTTTGCTTAAAGTCTTGTGTTTGCTCTCCAGTTGATGTGGTGGTAGCAAGCTGGGTCATAACGTGAAAACAGAAGATACAGTTCAGGCTGTGGAGAAACTAAATCAAAACAAATCCGATAAAGGAGTTTTCCTGAGTTCATCCTTACCCGCTTACAAACGCTATGGTTGCGGAAATGGATAGATGATGAAGACTTAAAGCTAGGATTAAACACAGAACTGGTCATTTCCCTCAAATGAAACCGTAAAATGAGATGTTCCCCTTTACCAAAGCATTGCATTGTGGGTAATCTGGTGTTGTTGTGGCTTTTTTGAATCTATCAATGACTTGTTGTACCCTCACTGGGTTTCAGCCTTTGTCTGTGAGCAGATTGGGTTCATGTCCGACTAACTGAGGTGGGTCACCTGGGCCCCTTTGTTTATTCTGGTTTACTGTGTTTTGGAGCCTTTTCTGCAGTCAGGAGGAGTGTGACTTGCAAACACGAGCTGAGACAGGAGGTCTAAAGGCAGCGTCCGGTGCCCAGAGAGTCCCAGGAAAGCTGAGGGAGCTGGTTCTGGTTCCACCATCAGAGCTGATCTCTTTTCACTCTGCTGCACTGA